CCTTGGGCCTCCTTGGGCCCACGTGGGGCTCCCTCGGGGCCCTCGTGGGGCCATCTTGGGCCCCTCTTGGAGCTCCAAGAGGAGCCCAAAGAGGGGCTCAACATCGGTCCCGCGAGGGCTCTTCCGCGTGACCTATGCTGGGGCTCTCTTGGGTCCCTCTTGGGCCTGCTTGGGTCCTCTTGGGGTCTCGTCGGGGCCCTCGTGGGGCCATCTTTGGCTCCTCTCGGAGCTCCAAGAGGAGCCCACAGAGGGGCCCAACATCGGTCACGCGAGAGCTCTTCCGCGTGACCGATGTTTGGGCTCTCTTGGGGCTCTCTTGGGTCCCTCTTGGGCCTCCTTGGGCCCACGTGGGGTTCCCTCTGGGCCCCCTCTTGGGCCCGTCTTGGGGCCCTCTTGGGCCATCTTGGGCGCCTCTTGGGCCGTCTTGGGGCCCACTTGGGCTGTCCTGGGGCCCTCTTGGAAGCTTCTTGGGCGGTCTTTGGGCGGTCTTGGGCGCCTCTTGGGCCGTCCTGTAACGTCGGAAAGCCCAAAAGGCGACTTTGTGAAAAATGTACGTTTTACGAAGGGAATGGGTCAATTTTTGCGTCTAGGGGCCCTCTTGGGACGCATGTTGGAGGCTTCTTGGGGCGTCTTGGGGGCGTCCTTGGACGTCTGCGGTCTCCTGGGGCCTCTTGAGGGGCCTCCCTGGGGCCTCCTGGCGGCCTCTTGGGGCGGAAGGCTCGAGCTTGCGGTTCGTGGTCCCCCTCTGGGCCCCCTCTTGGGCCCGTCTTGGGGCCCTCTTGGGCCATCTTGGGCGCCTCTTGGGCCGTCTTGGGGCCCTCTTGGGCTGTCCTGGGGACCTCTGGGAAACTTCTTGGGCGGTCTTGGGGCGGTCTTGGGCGCCTCTTGGGCCGTCCTGTAACGTCGGAAAGCCCAAAAGGCACTTTGTTTAAAATGTACGTTTTACGAAGGGAATGGGCCAATTCTTGCGTCTAGGGGCCCTCTTGGGACGCATGTTGGAGGCTTCTTGGGGCCTCTTGGGGGCGTCCTTGGACGTCTGGGGTCTCCTGGGGCCTCTTGAGGGGCCTCCTGGGGGCCTCCTGGCGGCCTCTTGGGGCGGAAGGCTCGAGCTTGCGGTTCGTGGTCCCCCTCTGGGCCCCCTCTTGGGCCCGTCTTGGGGCCCTCTTGGGCCATCTTGGGCGCCTCTTGGGCCGTTTTGGGGCCCTCTTGGGCTGTCCTGGGCACTCTTGGGAGCTTCTTGGCCCGTCTTGGGGCGGTCTTGGGCGCCTCTTGGGCCGTCCTGTAATGTCGGAAAGCCCAAAAGGCAACTTTGTGAAAAATGTACGTTTTACGAAGGGAATGGGCCAATTTTTGCGTCTAGGGGCCCTCTTGGGACGCATGTTGGAGGCTTCTTGGGGCGTCTTGGGGGGCGTCCTTGGACGTCTGGAGGCCATCTTCAGCATCTCGGAGCCCTCTTGGAGGCCTCTTGGAAGTTTCTTGGGCCGTCTTGGGCGTTTCTGGGGCCGTCTTGTCTGACCGGGGAGGCCTCCGGCAAGCCCCGACGAGCCTCCGGGGCCCCCGGGGTGCACATTTGCGGTCGAGGTCCCGGCCCCGGGCCCCCGGACCCGGTGCGCCGTTATATGTATATGTATCGGCCACTCTCCCAGGCTTTGTGGGGTATTCGAATGGACCAAAAGTTTGGGGCCCAGCCCTAGGGACCTAGGATATACGGACGGGGCGTGCATTCTCGTTCGGGGTGCATCCGAACAGCCCCCCTGGGGGTATATCCCCAAGGTGCCCTTCTTTTCTGAGCGGCTTCACTTTTCGCCGAGCAGTCGGGGCTTGGGGGCGAAACATCGCCTGCGAAGGCAGACGCATCACCCCCAGGAGAGGAGAAGGAGCGAGGACGAGGAGAGGAGGATCGGATCGGATCGACCCGGCCGGAGGAAAAGCATTGTGCCCCACAGGCGCCGTCTGCCACCCGCCCTCCCCCCTTTGGGGGCCACTCTTGCATGGAGCCAGAAGCTAACAAAACCACAACTGTGGCAATACTGCTATTCCGCCCTACCCAGCGGAGCAAAAAACACCACGGACCCAACTGTCCAACCCAGAGGAGAGGAGAGGGGGGAGAAGGGGGAGACAGAGAGAGAGAGGAAGAGAAGAGAGGAGAGGCGAGGCGAGGCGAGGCGAGGAGAGGAGAGGGAGGGACGGAGAGGTCAGGAGGAAGGAGAGGAGAGAAGAGGAGGGAGGAGATGAGAGGACGGAGGAGAGGAGGGTTGAGAACGAGGCGGAGGAGGGGGGAGCCAGCCCGCAGAAGACTCCCCGTGACTGCACCGGAGGCACTCCTTTCCGCTTCCTGGCACCTCTCCCGAGCCGCAGCACCAGCGCCGCGCCCCCCGTCCACCCCGCAGTGGGACGGAGTCCCTGGGTGCGACGCGCTGCACAGCACGGCGGCCTGCTCCTCCTCGTCCACATTATACTTCTTCTCCTCCTCCTCTTCCTGCTTCCTCCCTACTCCCCTCCCCCCCCCTCAACCTCTTCACGCTCCTGTTCTTCCTCCTCCTCCTCCTTCTCATCCTCCTCGTCCTCCTTGCTATACTTCCCAGTCTCGTCCTGATCCTCCCCATCATCGTGTTCTTCCTCACCAACCTCCTCCTCCTCCTCCTCCTCCTCCTCCTCCTCCTCCTCCCCTCGACCTCCTCCTGCTCCCTATGCTGCCCATCTGTTCCATCGACCTTCTCATATTCCTCCTCCTCGTCCTCCTCGTCCTCCTCGTCCTCCTTTTTCCCCACGCCCCCTCCTCCTCCTCCACCCTTGCTCATGCCGCCTCCTGCACCTCCTCCTCTTCCTGCTCGTCCTCCCCTCCTCCTTCGCCTCCTCCCTCTCCACCTCTCCTCCTCCTTCGCCTCCTCCCGCTCCTCCTCATCCTCCTTCTCCTCCTCCTCCTCCTCCTCCTCCTCCTCCTCCCACATTGTCCCCCTCTACCTCCTCATCCCCATGTCGACTATCCCTTCACAGGATAAGTACCACAGTGATTCCCTGGGCATGCGTAAGACAAGCAAGAATCAGTGGAGGTGCGTGATGCGTTGCAGGACCTGCTGAAACGCGACTGGCTCGCAATGGTTTGACCCTAACTGTCAGCTGGCTCATGCGCACACCTGATACCAGAATGCTGTGGAATGGATACCCACCCTCCCTATCCATTCTCCACGAGTCCTACGCGAGTAAAGGGGCCCTGGGACAGACAAATAAATAGACACAAATCCCAGGATTCCCAATCTATTCACAACTTTTCTGGGTTTTAGTCTTCCCCCCCACTTCCCATATTTCCCCATACTTTCCTGGGGGTCGCGATTCATCGTGTCTGTGTGTTTCTCCCCTCCTAAACGAGATGGGAGTCGAGGGTCAGCGAGGTCGCGCGCCCCGGGGCAACGCTGTCCGGAGGTCTGGGCACAAACGTAGCGGCCCGCGTGCGTCGTTCCGCCGAGGGGGCCGGCGACGGCCACCCCTCGGAACCTCCAGTACGAATCGACGGAGGAGGTGACGAAGTAGCACGCTTCTGGCTCGAGCGAGTCGCCTCTCCAGGCTGCAGCTGCGAGTCTGGCTGCAGCCGGGGCCCACGCCACAGACTGTTCACGTTCGGACGCCTCTCTTTCGTGGTCAGGCGGGTACTGAAAGTCTCCCCCGTGCGGGGGAGGAGGAGGAAGAGGAGGAGGAGGAAGCACCTGCCCCATCGGTCCTTGACGGCCCCGAGGAAGAAGATGAGCGTGCGATCCTCTCGCCGCCCAGGGATTGGACATGTTTCGGCACGCATCCGCCACTCTCGCGTTCCGTCTCTTCTTCGTCCTCCTCTCATCTCGTCTCCTCCTGCCGCTCCCGCTCCTCCACCTCCTCCTTCTCCTCCCCCCACCATCTTCATCTATATCATCCTCAGGTTACTCTGGCCCATTGCGGGATGTGCGTAATGAACAGCTGTCCCCACTATGTATATATATGTATATACATATATATATATATTTATGTAAGCATGCGGATGCTGTCTAAAACTCGTCACCATTCCCCATCCATGCGGTCCGACGCCCCCACTTCTTCTCGCTGCTGCAATCTATGTTGTGCAATCCAAGACCAGCGACGGGCGGCGACGAGGCGGCGACAAGGCGGCGACGGCGACAACATAGCCGCCAGACCGCCACACTGGCACAGAGGACGCGCGGCGATGAGGCGGCGATGGGGCGGCGACGCCGACAGCATAGCCGCAAGATCGCCACAAAATGTGTAAGTCCGCGGGCGCCAACAAGTGCAAGACGGTCAGCCGTACCGCCACGCAGGCCTGGACGACGGGCGGCGACAAAGCGGCGACGGGGCGGCGACGGCGATAACATAGCCGCCACTTCGCCAAAACAGCCCAGACGACGAGCGGCGACGAGGCGGAGACGGGGCGGCGACGGCAGCCCGCCAGATCGCCACACCAGCCCAGTTCTTTAGAAAAGAAATAAGAAACCCGAAGTGCAAGCACTGCTTGGGAAACATAGGTTCGTAGATACTGCCACACACATGTATAGATATAAGAGAAATCTCTACAAACATATATACATGTATTTTTATCATATGTGTGTATGTATATATATATATGTGTGTGTGTGTGTCTGAGCTCCAGGTAAGGAACGCCGAATTAGGGGGGGGGCTGGCTCAGGGGGGGAACGGCAACAATGGCATGGAATCGACGACGCATCGTCGACGGATCGCCGAGAGGCCACCGATGGCGAATCCGC